TTCTGCACAGAAGGAAGGAAGGAAGAGCAGAAATGGGTGAGGGGGCCAGATGAGACCAGGAACGGCCCCCGGTTTCTCAGAAGGAGAGATCCAGAAGGGCAGGTGCTTTCTTCCTTTTTTTGGCTAAGGGAAGAAACTGCCGTTTGTGTGTGTGTGTGTGTGTGTGTGTGTGTGTGTGTAAAACCACACTCTTGGCACCTTCCTTGGCAGGCTGCCCCCTCTCGTGAGATGCTTCCCCCACACTGGCTATCCAGCTGGAGCCTGCAGGACCCTTCCCCACAGGCGACCCTGGGGGGGGGGAGGGAGCAGCTGCTGCCCTGGCAACAAGCTCAGTTGCCTTGAAGATGGGCAAAGTCACCATGGCAACGGATTGTCCCAGGAAGGAGTGGATGTTGTCAAGGCAACGGGTGCTTTGGAGGAAGCGCAAGGGGGGAGAGCTGTGGGCAAACTGCAGAGGGCCCCCTGGCTGTGGGGCAGGAGACTCTGGGGTCTCCTCCACTGAGCCGCCTGCCCAGGGCAGCACCTTGGGGGCAGCTTTTGATCTGGGCAATCCAGAAGCTTCTTTCAAGGCAAACTCAGGGCCCCTGAACCGCCCCCCAGCCCCCAAAGCGCACACTAAAGCAGTTCTCTCCCCCTGCTCATTGGCCTCCCCACTGAGGTAGACTGCCTCTTGCCATGGAGGGTCCATTTCCAACTGCCGTGGCCAATGGCAATTAATAAACCTGTTGCCCCAAAAAGGGAGACTTTGCATGCTGCCCCCCTGCAAAGGAGTCCCTGGTTGCCCCCCTGGCAGAAGGGGCCACTGGACTGGGCCAGGTGGGGGGGGGGAGGTTTTCTAAGAGGTGGGCAGAAGAGGGGAGGAATTTGGGGGTCCAAGACAGAAGCAGGGTCATTCCTCTGGGGCAGGTGGGTGTCCCAGTGGCAGGAAAAACAGAAACATGGAACTGAAGAGTTGGAAGGGACCCCCAAGGGCCATCTAGTCTTCCCCTACCAGCTTCCAAGCCTCAGGTGTCGGGGGGGAGGGGGCCTGGCAGAGGAGCAGCTGTCCTTTCCACCCATTCAATGCCCCCCACTTTCCAAGATGCCCCCAGCCTCCTTGGGGCATGCAAAGCTGTGCGCAGGGCCAGCATTTCATAGTTTTGGGGGTGCTGGTGAGAGATTTGCAGCAATACCCTGGGATATGTTTAAGATGAACTGGAAAGCTGGAGTGTGTGTGTGTGGGGGGTGTCTCTGTGAGGAGGAAGAGCTGCCCCCTCCCTGGCCCAACCCCTCCACAATCCGACTGGCTTCACAGCGAAACTTCGTAACATAAGATTTTAGGCCTCCCTGGTCCAGCCTCCTGTTCTGACAGGGACCAGGCACAATGGGGAGCCCCCAAGCAGGATCCGACCACAGGAGCAGCCCTCCCCCCTTCTGTGGGATTGGGAGACAGTGACCATGGAAGCAGAGCAGAACCATCCTGTATGGAGCCCCCCAGAGCCCCCTCCTCCCCCGCATGAAGTGGCCCAGTCCTCTTAATGCCACCCTGACCACAAGTGAGAAGGGCATCAGCTTAATGGGCACCCAAGTCGAGACCCTCAGGTGCCCTGGAAGCCGAAATGAGAGCAGTTGAGCCCCAGCCTCACAGAACCAGACCCAGCAGGAGCCTTGACCCAGACCCTCATTTTAGGGTCCATAAGCCCCTAAAACGGCCAGGGAGCCCCAGGAAGAACAGAGTGGCAGGTGCTCCCTAGACCTTTTGAGTCTCAAGCAAACCCTACTGGGGTCCCGCTCACTGGCGCCAACTCTAGGGAGCCCTGTGTGCCTGGGCACCCATAATTTTTGTAGGTGCTCTGACGGGGCTTCCAGTTTCTACCAGAAGTCACATCAGAGGCCTGATGCGATGCCCAAGGCAACCTCTGAGGTGACGTCGGAGGCCCTGTGAAGTCACATGATGCTGCGGGTGTCATTGGGCTCCCATAATCTGGGGCCCAAGTTGGGGGTGCCCGTGGCCCCGCTTCGCCCAGCTGTGCTCCTAGACTGAGAGATGGTGGCACCAGGCTGGCTCTGCTCTGTGCCCAGCCTGGCACAGGAGGGGGGGTCCTGCAGCCCTGAGGTGGCCCCACTGAGGAATCTGCCTCTCCTGGCCCTAGACTGGAGCCTCCCCAGTCCCAGACAGGCAGACCCCCCCCTGCACAATGCCTCTCTCCATAGGAGCTAAACCCTGGGGGCCAAGGTCCCTTCCGCCCCCCAAAAACTATTTGAGGGGACCAGCCCCCCAAAAGTTAATGAGCATTGCCATTCAAATGGTGTGCCTGCACTACGTCTTGTGGCCAATTATAAGGGGTGGGGCTTACCAGCCCCCCCATATTTTATTCAAGCTGCCCCCCTGCCCCCCACTGTGGCCTTAGCAAGGCCCTGTCCATCCCCCTCACTCCTGCTCTCCCCATGGCTCTGCTGACTCCCCACTGCCGTGACCGCCTTCTGCTGTCCTCCCACCCTATCCCTTAGCTTCCTGGGCCTCTATGTGCCCCCCCCGAGTTCTGCCCCCCCCACCTCTTTTGACCACCTTTTGCCTAGCATCCCTCACCCTTGTGGGTGGAATGGGGGAGGGGAGGCAGAGGATCACACTCTGCAGCCCCTGAAGTGAGGGACCCCCATCAGGTATCCATTGAGACAAAGCAGCCCCCCCCAGTGGAAACAGCTCTGCCCCTTATAGAGAAACCCCCATAGGAGCCAACTCCTGGGGAGGCCGGGGCCCCACAACACTGGTGCGCATTGGCCACTCAAATGGGGTGTATCTGTGCCATGCCTTGGAATCAATTATGTGGGGCAGAGCTTACCTGGCCTCCCCCAATATTTCATTCAAGACGTTACCCCGTGGAGGGGAGCCTGCTGGTTCATGAGATGGGGCTTTTGCTCATGGGGTAGGGTGGGGGCTGGTCTCGCTCCACTTCAGGGACTGGGCCTCTGAGCCCCCCAGCCCTGGGGAATGGCTGGCTTCCTGTTTCTCCCCACCAGAAGACCCCCTTCCTCTCCTTGACAGCTGCTCCCTGCAGCACCCCAAGCAAGGCAGGCCTCTCTGCTCTCCTGTTCACCCCCCAGCTCCCCCACAAGCAGACCTGCCTCCTCCTGCAGCTGCTCCCAGGTGCCCCATTGCGCCAGGAGCGGAGGGTGGTGGCCGTGGCCCCCACTGCAGGGCTGCTGTGCTCCCTTTTCAGCTGGGGACCCCAAGGGAGCTGCCTCAAGAGGTCTCCGGGGAGAGACAAGCCCAGCGCTCAGTGGCTCCAAACAGCCTTGGTCCAGCTAAGTCCACCACGAGGCTCCCCCCACGCCCCTTTCATTGCACACTGATGCCCACCTGTGCTCAGGATGGCACAGGGGCAGGGAGATGCCACCCCCAAGGCTGTTTGCGCCCAGAGCTGGTTTGCTAGAAGCTCTCAGGCCAGTTCTGCCTCCAGCTAACCAAATCCTCCACCTCACCCGCAATGTTCATGCTGCCTTGCTAAATGCAGCCTTCTTCCCGGGATGAGGCCACACCCCAGGAGAAGTGGCCCCTCTCCCCTCCCCCCAACCCCCCACCTGGGATCCTACCTGGGCCCAGAGGAGCGAAACCTCTGATGGCACAGGGCAGCCCCAGGCGCCGGCAAGGAGGGCCCTGGAGCAAGTGCCCAGGATGGAAGAGGAAGAGGAGGGAGGAGCGCAGGGTTTGGGGAATGCCGGCTGAGGTGGCGATTTGGCTCCCCAAATCCTGAGTTGTGCTGGAAGCCAGGAGTCCTGGGTTCAAATCCTCCCTGGGCAGGCATTTGCTGCTCTTTGCTGGACAAGCCCCCAGGGCTGAACCAAGTTTAGCTGCCTGAGGCGAAGGGCAGGATGGCAGCCACTACACCCCCCCCCCCCCACAGAGAGAGAATCCAATCCGAGCTGACTGCTGCCCTGACCTAATGAGGAATTCAAGGTGTGCATGCAGTTCCCCTGCACATAGTGCTGAGCCCAAAATTGAGAAGATCTATAACTGAGAACATCCATTTGGGCTGAGGTTCCCATATTATCAAAGATGTCCAAAGTCTGCCCCTTCCTGACCCCAAACCCTGGTCAGAGGAGAGCCTCCCCCACCCACAAAAGGTGACAGGTGTGTCTCTCTCCTCCAGCAGGTGGGACCCGCAGGAAGAATTGCCAGGAGGGCTGCTTGCCCCGACCTGTCCCGGGACCTCGCCTCCCTCTGCCCGACGGTAGGACCACTCTTCCCAGCAACCACACATAAGGAGAGCCTCCAGCTGGATCCGGCCCGCGGGGGGCAGCCTAGCCCCGCACCCCGTACCCTCAGTGGCCACGCAGCCGGCTCCCTCCGCGGGAAACGCGCAAGCGGGACGGGAGCGCGGGCGCTGCGCGGTCCCCTCTCCTATCCTTGCAGGCCCTCCCCGGCGGCGCCCCGGCCCCCTTCCCCCGAGCCGGGTCCGCCCCTCACCACGGTGAAGTTGCTGGCGCTGCAGTTGGCGCCCCGGAAGGTGCACTGCCAGAGCATCTCGGCCAGGTCGTGCCCGGTGCGGTTGTAGAAGTCGGCCATGTCGAAGGGGCGCGCCTTGAAGCCCCTGAAGTTGGCCCTGTCCCGCAGGGCGGCCAGCAGCTCGGGGTCGCTCCGCGGGGCCACCTCGTGGCGCGCGTCCAGCAGGGCCAGCAGCTCGCCCACGTGGTAGAGGTCGTTGCGCGTGATCTTGGAGAAGCGGAACTCGTTGAGGTTGCAGAGGGTGACGGCGGGGAAGGTGAGGTTGGGCGCGGCCACCTCGTCCAGCTTGGTGACATGCGGGTAGCTCAGGAAGTAGGCGACGCGCTCGGCGCAGACCAGCGCCAGCAGCGCCAGGGAGCCCCCGAAGGCCAGCGCCCACAGCAGGCGGCGCAGGGAGCGCGATCCGTGCGCCACCAGGTGGCTCAGCCCGTGGAGGGACGAGGCGCGCGCGAAGGCCCGCAGGCCGGGCAGGCGCTCCCCGCGGGCCATGCCAGCCCCGGGCACCTCGCGCATCATGGCATCTCCCGGAGGGGCGCCACCCGCCCAGCCTCCGCGCAGCCCCACCTGCTGCCGCTGCCGCTGCTCAGGCGCGCACCCCCCGCTGCCACGCGGCGCGCTCCCCGCTGGCCCGCCGCCCGTGGCCGGGGCGCCCTGCGCGGCGCTGCCGGGGGGCTCTCTCCGGCGCAGCGCCCATCCCCGGGAGGCGAGGCGAGGGGGCGGCAGCCTCGCCCTCCCCAGTCACCGCGACGGGCCGGGGGTCCTCCCAGCGCAGCCTCGCCCTCCTGCCGGAGAAAGGGCGCAGCAGGCGGGCGGGCAGAGGCGCAGCGCGGGGGGCTCTGCGGTGGATGCGGCAGGCTCAGCTGCGCGCCTCCAGCTCCTGCTGCTCATCGGCTCACTGCCTGCCGCCGCCTCTGCCTCTTTCGCAGTCTGCGGCTCCTGCTGCTGCGGAAGCGGCTCCGCCAAGGAGGCGGCTCCGCGCGCCCCCCGCTCCGGACCACGCCGCGCAGGGAAGGGTCCTCGGCCAGCCCCTCCCCGCCCAGCCCCAGCAGCAGCCGGGGACTCCAGAGCGCCCTCCTTCCCCTCCGAGACGAGGGGTCTGGCAGGGAGCAGGGGGACCCAAGGCGGCTCAGAAGAAAAGAGAGCCGTAGAGTTGGAAGGGACCCCCAAAGGTCATCTAGGCCAACCCCCTGCGATGCAGGAATCGCAACGCCAGAGCTCTCCAAGTGAGCCAAGGGCTCCCCGACACTAAGCTGCCTCTGTGTGGCACCTGGAACTGGGGGCAACTTCCCTTACATGGGCCTCTCGCCTCAGATTCCCAAGACTGCCCCCCCAACAGGTGGCCCAGGAGGAAGCGGGTGCCAGAAGGGTGGGAAGAGGCACCAGCAACAGGACAGGCCATGCGAAGGGAGGGGCGGAGGAAATCGCCCTGCCCTCCCTCCAGGAGTGTGGACTGAGTGCGAACTTCAATTTCTCACTCCCGCAACCTTTACAGAACCTTCTGCTCCCCATGGCTGGCCCAATCCCTCCTTGGATGGCCAATTAATGCCCCTCTTGCCCCACTGGAGGGTAACTGGTCTTCAGAGGGTCGGTACCCCTCATCCTGGAGGCAGCCATTGTGCTAGCCACCTGCTCCCTCCAAGATCTGCCCCACCTTTTAACTCCGTCTAAACTGGTAGCCATCGTGCCATCCTGTGGCAGGGAATTCCACTGGTTAACTATGTGCACTGCAGTGCATATTTTAGGGGGCAGGAAATGTGGGATCAGAAAAGGTTTCACAATAGCCTGAGGTGCAGAGAAGAGGAGGAAGGCCGTCTGGCCCTACTCTGTCTGGCCCTGGAAGAGGGGCAGCCTTGGCATCGTTGACTGGGCACCACCCAAAGGCTTTGGGGCTCCCAGCATGGCCAGGGGGCTGATGGGGATCATTTGGAGGGTCTCTGGAGGGTCCTCACCCCGATCCAAGCCAGTGAACCATTCAGAGGCAACACAATCAGGAGACCCGTCAATGTTTTTTTATTGGAAATTGTTAAGGCACAAGCTGCAGAGAAGTTTTTTCAGGAGTTCCGCGTCCCATTTGGCCCCACCCCCTGCCCCCCAGGACTCCTCTGGGCCTCTGCTGGGGGTGGGGAAGGTGCATCAGGCATCTTCAGAAATGGGGGGTCCCCGGCCTCTTCCATCCCAGGCCCTCTGCTCCCCCTTCCCTCCTCCTTCTCTGCGTCCCCCAGGAATTAAGAGCCTGGGCTTTCGAAATGGATTTCTTCTTCTTTTAAAAAAGGAAAGAAACGCCCATCGTGCAGCTACAGGTGAGGGAAAGAAGAAGTCAGGCTGGAGAATGGAAGACGAGTGAAGGACAAGCCTCGTCCGAAGAGCCAGGCTTCCCAGCGGACCTTGTGCGGTGATGACGAGGGCGCTGAGGACGTGGGCGACTCCGAGGCAGAAAGTCCAGCCCTGCAGGAATCCCTGCCGCGCCAAGCCCCCAGAGACGCAGGAAGAGAAGGGGGGGGCAGAAGAAAGTGCGCCATGCGTCGAGGGAGGGGTCGGGGGAGGGAGGAAGAGGCCTAGCCGGGTCCTTCTCCTTCTTCGTCCGAGACGTCCTCCGAGGGCAAGGTGCGCAGGTGGCTGGCACGGACGCTGCCGAGGGCAGGGCAGGCGGCCAGGAGGGCGGCCACCCCCTCAGGGGTCACACCAGAGCCGTCCAGGTTGAGGTGCACCAGGGGCACATGGCGCAGGAAGCGGAGCCCTGCAGAGAGACCAGAGGGGGAAAAGGAAGCTGGGCAAGGACAGGCTCTTCCTGCAGCAAACTCTCTGCCCCCCTGCCCTGGCCTGTGCCCCTGAGGGAGGACTAAGGGCAGAAAGAGCCTTGGGATCATAGAATCACAGAACGGTAGAGTTGGAAGGGATCCCAAGAGTCATCTAGTCCACCCCACCCAGCAATAATCATAATAAAAATTATTTATACCCCACCCTCCCCAGCCAAGACCAGGCTCATGGTGGCTAACACTAAATATAAAAACAATTCATTGAAATACAACTTAAAAAACAAGATTGAAATACAACATTAAATGCAGCCTCATTTCAGCACAAACTCAAAAACTTTTTGGGGGATGAAAACATCAAACCTTCTATCCAGACTGGTCCTACGTGGGCCAGAAAAAAGCCAGGGAAGTCCCCAAATAGGGGTTCCATCACAGAAAGAGAAAGGAAAAAGGAGAGAGGGGGAGGGGATCAAGTGGATTCCAAGCCAAAGGCCAGACGGAACAACTCTGTCTTACAGGCCCTGCGGAAAGAAATCAGATCCTGCAGGGCCCTGGTCTCATGAGACAGAGCGTCCCACCAGGCTGGGGCCAGTGTTGAAAAGGCCCTGGCTCTGGTTGAGGCTAATCTAAATTCCTTAGGGCCTGGGACCACCAGGGTGTTGCTATTTACGGACCTTGAGGCTCTCCGTGGGGCATACCGGGAGAGGCGGTCCCGTAGGTACGAGGGTCCTAGGCCGTGAAGCGCTTTAAAGGTCAAAAGCAGCACCTTAAATCTGACCCTGTACTCCACCGGGAGCCAGTGCAGCTGGAAAAGCAGTGGGTTCTGCTTCGTTGGAGGTTTTTCAGCAGAGCTGTCAGGGACGCTGACATTGCCATGGGTTGGGCTGGATGACCCTTGGGGGTCCCTTTCCAACTCTTATCATTCTGGTTCTATTTTCCATAAACCCCCACCCCAGAGAATGGGGGGTGTCCTCTGCTTCCCATCTCTGTGCTGGCAGCTGGCACCCCAGGCCAGCCCACTGCCAAGCTGTTCTTGAGCGGCGTCCCCCAAAGTGAACAGTACCAACTGCGGGGGGGACGGGACCCCTGGAGATGCCAATGGCTGGGAGGCTTTGGAGAGCCGGTATCTCCAGATCAAGCTCATCTCCTTTGCCAAATTAATTAACGGAACTAAAGGGCTTTAATCGGATTTTGAGTGAATGTGCAATCAGCCGTTGCGGTTTTGAATGTTGCCGCATTTCATCTCTCTTAGTGGGCTGTGCAAACTGCTGCTCTGGACGCCGCTTCCGGCCAGGTGGGGCTGAGGGCCAGGAAAGCCTTGGGGGGCCAGGACTCACCTCGGTCCGTCAGGCGGGTGCGGCTCAGGTTCACCTTGAGCAGCTGCTTGCAGCGGGAGATGCCCAGGCGGGCCACTGTGTCTCCGACCGGCGTGCTGGCAAGACTCAGCACCTGGGGGGGGGGGAGGAAGATGATAAAGTGGGGGGGGGGCAGGGCCCCTGGGGCTCTCATGCCTGCCCTGCCCCAGGTCTCTCCCTCTCTGTGTCTCTGCAGCCGCCCAAAGAGAGGAGCTTGGAGGGGGGAAGGAGCCCTTGGCCAGCGCCTGCCGCTCCCCCAGGGGCAGAACCGGCTGAGCCCCCCCTTGGCACAGCTCCCTTCCCGGCCGTACCTGCAGGTGGGGCAGAGTGACGATGCAGCGCGCCACCCCTGCGCTGGAGACGTTGAGGCGGTCCAAGCACAGCTCCTCCAGAAGCGGCAGCCCCTGGACGTGGTGCAGGCCCAGGTCCGTGGCCAGCGTGTTGCAGAGAGACAGGCGGCGCAGCCTGCAAGAACCGCAGAAGAGCCTCAGGTCGGGCCATCGGACCCCCCAGTCTCGTGGCCAAAGGCGGCCTCTGGACCCCACAGCCCAGATCGTTCTGCCCGGACACTGAGGTCCAGCACTGAGGGCCTTCTGGTGGTTCCCTTACTGTGAGAAGTGAGGTTACAGGGAACCAGGCAGAGGGCCTTCTCGGTGGTGGCTCCCTCCCGTCAGATGTTAAGGAAATAAACAACTATCTGATTTTCTGAAGACATCTGAAGGCAGCCCTGTTTGGGGAAGTTTTTTAATTTCTGAAGGACTATTGTATTTTACTATTTTGTTGGAAGCTGCCAAGAGTGGCTGGGGAAACCCAGCCAGATGGGCAGGGTATAAATAATAAATTATAAACTATTATTAGGTATTCTTTTTCTCTTATTTAACTGACTGTTATACTCTTAATAAAATAATATTTTTTAAAAAAACCTAATTTAATTTAATTTGTATACTGTCTAATACCTCGTAGATCTCAGGGCGGTTCACAACATAAATGTCTCTGCCGTTTCTCAATCAAATTATTCCCATAGTGGCTTGCGAAGAATCAGGAATAATGACGACACGGCAGAGTGTAACAGAGCGTCACAAATGCAGCTTAAATCATATATTAATGAGTGAAACCATTTCCAATATCATAATGATAATATCATTATTAATATTAACAACTAACACTAGCCAATACAGTGGTGCCTCGCAAGACGAAATTAATTCATTCTGTGAGTTCTGTTGTCTTGCGATTTTTTCCGTCTTGCGAAGCACGGTGTCGGGAAAGTTTTGGAAAAGCTTCAAAAATCACCAAAGTCTTTAAAAACCTCAAAAAGGCTACCACACCGTGTGCTATGAGTTGCTCCTCGAAGTCAAGTCGCAACTGTATTAACGGTGTTAAGAAAAAGGAAACAAACTTGCAAGACGTTTCCCTCTTGCGAAGCAAGCCCATAGGGAAAATTGTCTTGCGAAGCAGCTCAAAAAACAAAAAACCCTTTCGTCTAGCGAGTTCGTCGTCTTGCGAGGCATTCGTCTTGCGAGGTCCCACTGTAGAGCTTCTTTTTTTAAGCTGCAAAGGGATGCCCTCTGCTGAACTCCCAAACTGAGGCAGGAAGGATAATCTCCCAGTATCTATCCGCAACCCAACATCCTGGACCGCTGCCCAGGGAGCAAGGCCTGCTATGAAGGGGGAGGGGCGTTGGGGGCTGGAGCGTAGAGCCCGGCCTTGCTGGGGGGGGGGGGCAGGATCCGTGCGCCCATTCCTCACCTGCTCAGCCGGGACAGGTGCTGCAGCCCCTGGTCGGTGATGTGGCTGTAGTCCGTCAGGTCCAGCTCCAGGAGCCCGGCCAGGCGGCAGAGGGCGGCCAGGCCAGCGTCAGTGACCGTGTGGCGGCTGGGCAAGGCCAGCTGGGTGAGGGCAGGCAGACCTGAAGAAAGAGCCACCGAGGGGTGGGTTGCCACGTGGAAGCGCCTCCAAGCCAGCCGGGAACCCCAGCGCAGTCCCCCCAACATTGGGGGACGTGGGGGCCACCTCTCCAACACAGACTCCCGGACAAGGTGGCCAGGGAAGCCAGAACCTGAGTGGGTGCCAGGGGCCGCTCCTGGCTCTGTTTGCAGCATCTACAGCACAGGGTCCTTTTCGGCAGGGCTGCTCGCCTGGAGGACACGGCTGCTCGCCCCAGGCGAGTGCCCTAGAGATGAGCTGCAGGGGAGCTTTGGGTCAGAGCCCCCAAACTGGGGCTGGGCTTGGAGAGGCCAGATTTCCAGCTCCCAACCCATGTTTACGACTCTTAAGGTGGCTTAACATGTTTTTCAATCTTGAACAGTCAAACCTCAGTTCCGTTTCCAAACCTTTCGGCTGCCAAAC